TTCTATCATTTTATCACAATTAAACTAAACAGTATTTTTCCACATTGATATAATATTGGACATCATTATAAAAAAATTGCCAATGCTCACAATAACTAAAATATCAAGCTTATCAAAAGTTTGCACAATATTAGGTAGCCAACAAGATGAGGCTGGAGACTGTTCTTAGCATGCTCTTAACATGTTCTGCCTTAGAAAGATGGAGGTAAAACCGGCAAATTCAAAGGTAACATGATCTAGGAATGTTATTTAATTACTTAGAGCTCTGATACACTAGAATATTTAAAATAATACACGTGATGGTGTGGTAAGTGAGTTAAGCAAAGTTTAAGCCTTTAAAGATTGTCTTATACATAACAGTGTCTAATATTTATTCCTATAATGAAATATAATTAAAATGTACATTGAGTAGATTCTGTTCTCTGGTACATCTTATTCACGTAGACAGGTGACCATAGAGACCTGTTGTAATGTATATGACAACATGAGCCTCTAGAAATGCCTCTCAGTACTATGTGTGTGCTACTTGAGATTGGCAAATTAGTCTCTTGCATTTATCAAAACACTTTTCTTAACATCATTGCCTAGGAAATTTACTGTCAGTATTCTAACCTGCTTCATTTTTATGACAAAGAAACAAGCTTAGAAAGCATAAAACCTTGTGTAGATTTACACACTAAATGAGAGCAATTTGATATGTTGCTCAATATTGTTCAACATCATTCAACCAGAGAATAAAGGCCAATATAAGTGGCTTTAAAGATAGCTGGGGTTCTTTGTCAATATATACTCTTGAAGGCATTATCACATTGACTTTGCAAAGGTACAAGACACACTTGTTTTCCAAAGCATTCAACAATTTCCTAATTTCAACAATTAATTTTGGACACTTCAATTTCTGTGAGGAAATCTTGAATTCTCTAAAGATCATGAAAAGTATAAGCTCACACTTTATTCTTAAAGGAACAATTTTTTAAATTGTGTGTGTGTGTGTGTGTGTGTGTGTATTTGCTTCTGCGTAGAGGTATATTCATGGAAATATGTGTTCATGGAGATTAGAAAGTGTCCAATCCCCTGCAGTTACAAGCAATAATAAGGCACCATACATGGCTGAAAAAAAACAAACTCATTATTTGAGTAAGAGCATGAAGTACTCTTAAACCTAATCACTTCTGTAGTCCCCTTAAAAGAAAAAAATCTTCACAGCTTTGATAAGATAAAAATTATCTGATTAAGAGTTTTTGAAGCATCTACTGATAAATATATAGATACATTATATGACTAGATGAACATGAGAGAGCTAGTAAAATTTGTTTCTAATAGGCATATAAAGAGTCATCACATGATGTCAAAATGTCAGTCAGATGACCAACAATAAAATATGGCATGACAAATCCTTTGTCATACCTGGTTAACCAAGAAGTGCTTGCACAGTGAGACTGTGCCCAAACAGGAACTATGCAGAGTACATATAGACAGCTGGGACTCTTGTCTGATGTTGTCTTTCTTCTTCCAGCAGGAGAACACCTCATTCTGCTCTGAAACCAGCAGTAAGTAACTCTCCTTTATTATGAGATCAAATTCCTAATGCCAATACATTTATAACTCAGGGGCAGTGTAATTTTATAGGTAACAATTGCATGTGCTGTTGTTATCAGAATCATACTGATAATTTTGTTGAGAATAATTATTTTCATTTAATCATGTAAAGCTGAATATTTGATTTATGAAGCTTATTTTTTTTAATCTTAGAAATGCTTTTGTACAGAGATAATAGGAATGAAACTTTTTATTTTAAAATCATAAATAATGTCTATGATTTTTCCAGGTAACTCTATTAGAGGCGTCTTTAGTAAAACCATGATCTAGGAGTGTATTTAAAATATATTTCTGAATAGTGATGTAAATGTCTTTAGAATATGGATGAGAAGATAACATTACTAGTGATTTTAAATTGGTCAAAACAACTTTATAGCAGTGAATGTGGAATAATCGTGTTACTGATGAATATATAACTTGTCCATAAAATACCTTCAAAGGAAGGACAAAACGAAACATTTCATTTCTCTGGGCACAGGTGAACATATTCTGTTAGCTTGTAGATTATTTAAATGTATAAATTGTGTATCTATCTTCTACGACAAAGCACATATAACTTTGTGTTTGGGGCAGACAAAAATGTTTCTGGAGAACATTAGGGTATCATGAAACTAATGTCAATCAGAAAGGAGTTATATGCTACTGGAGAAGGTTATAATTCCTAAGAGCATTTATGGATGTTTTCTTCCATGTGTTTAAATGATGTTCTCAGCTAGTTCATATCTGAACCGACAGTCCCTGTCCATGTATCTTCTGAAGTTAGACAAAAAGCAGTCAGTTATCGTAAGTGTAAATCCTGAAAGCTATTAGGTAATGGAATGCTAGTTTATGAGACAAAGGGTGAATTGCAGAAATGAACGTCAGAAATTTCAAGAAGTGTAGATCAGGCAGAGTTCAGAATTCCAGTGCTACTGCCTCGCAAATTCAAGGAAGCAAAGACTTTCCTTCTTGGAAAAAAATACTTTGTGGGGATTGACAAGGTTGTTTTGGCAGCATTTTTGTCCACGATGATCTCTAGCAGTTTGGTGAAACTTACGTTTTCTGTTAACTGATTCATACCTCTGAAATACATGACAATGTAATCAGAGTGAAGATTACATACTATACAGGAATTTAGAAAATATTACAGTAGATAATTGGGAGAATGTGATGAGTGTGAATCAAGTTATTTTTCCTGTAATGTGCTCATCCAAGGCATGTCTGCTGGGGTTTTATTGACATAGTCCATGTCTACATAACCTTTAAAGCATTGCAATCTTTGGCTTTCAGAACTGAAGGCTTTGAAATCATAGAGATGGTTCTTATATTTCAGTTCTGCTATCTGAATTCTTATGACACCTCATTATTAAATCTCTAATACTGAGACTGCTCATGTGTAGAGTGGAGTATTGAGTCACAGTATCTCCCCACTAGGTTTTTATGAGTTTGAAATGAAGCCCATGGAGAGTCACATGACAAGTGATACCATACGCATAGTCACTGTATCTGTTATTGTGAGGGCCTATGTTAGGACAAGGGGTACTTTGATACATTTCATAAAAATTACTTATTTATGCATTGTATCCATCTCACATCATTCTTATTAATTGTCGAGTAAGAAAAACTTTTCTTACTGGTTAAGGAAAAATCATTAAATAGTCATTTAAAAAGCAAACTTGAGTGCTGGCAAGATGGCTGAGTAGACAATGTACCTGTTATACAAGCATGGGGACCAGAGTTCAAATCACCTGAGCCCATGTAAAATCCAGATGGGCATTCCTGCATGCTGTTCACTTCAGTGCAGGCAGAAGGCTGAGACAGAATGTACTAGAACCAGGTGTAGTCAAACCAACTAAACTGTTGAACTCTGAGTGCTCTGATAGATCCTTTCTCAACTTATACGAGGGAAAGCAGTTGAAGAAAGCAACTTATATCTGCCTCAGGTCTCCACATGAAAGCATACACATATACTTGCATACTGGCATACGTTTGAATGTTTGTATATTTGTGTGTAGATGTGTGGGTGTTCCATAGAATACCATTAATAAGAGAGTGTGTTCCAAATTATTTAAATAGTTTCTTCCTCTATTTTTGAACATGCATTTATCATGTTCAAAATTAATTTATTATATATTTACCATATATGTAAAATATGAGGATGAAACTCTTAAGATTTTGGAGGTTTTAGTCTTGGTATTTGGGACCAGACATTGAGAGTAAATGTGTAAATACACTGGACACAAGAACCAAGTTAAGGACATTGGTTGAAAAATATAATGGAGTTGTGTGTGGCAGTGTACAGGTATGCCTCAATACATGAAAACTCTGAGTCAAGGTTGTTGATTTGAAGTCAGACTGAGCTACATGGTGAAATCTTGTTTCAAAAGGAAGAGAAAGAGCCAGGTGGTGGCTCACACCTTTAATCCTAGAACTCAGGCACTAGAAGTAGGTGGATCTCTGTGAGTTCCAGATCAGCCTGGTCTACAGAGCAGAGTTCCACCACAGTCAGGGCTAAATGAAGAAACCCTGTCTCAAAAAAAATAAAACTGAACCACCTCAACCAACCAACCATAAGAAAAAAAGGAAGAGAAAAAAAAACTTTTAGTGAATAAATAACAAATAAACATATCCTTAACTGAGAACATTCTGGCTAGATTTATGTCAACTTGACACAACCAGTGTTATCTGAGGGGAGAAAACCCTACTTGAGAAAACAGTTCCAAAAGATCGTGTCGTACACAGGCCAACTTTTAGGAAATTTTCTCAGTTATTGATTGATGAGGAAGGTCTCAACACATTTGGGATAGTTCCAGTTCTAGGCTGGTAGCCCTAAGCTCTGTAAGAAAGCAAGCTGAACAAGTCATTGGGAGCAAACCAGTAACGTCACCCCTCCATGGTGTCTGGATCAAACCTGCCTCCAGCTTCCTTCCGGGTTTGAGATCTCACTTTGGCTTCTTTCAGTGGACTGCGGTTTGGGATACATAAGCCATCTAAATCCTTTTCAAGTTGCTTGTGGTCACGCTGTTTCATCACAGCAATAATAACCGGAACTAAGATATAGGATTTACTTAGGTTTTTAAAAACACGATAATCCAACAGGAGTGATATGACAAATTCTTACTTCTAATCGGATGATGTGTTTATAAGAATATATTTATAATGGGGTGGAAACACTTATCCAGAAAGGACTTAGTTATACCATTTGTAGTGAGTGCCCGGTCATAGTAATAATCGGAAGCTATTGATATTCTTGGAAGGACAAAGAAAGAATTGCTAGACTCCTAGAACTGAAGAGAGGGTCTATATTGGTTTCAGTGCATTGGGGAGAAGATAATGACCATATCATTTGTAGGTGTGTTACTCAGAACTCCATTACTAAACATCATAATGCATATCTTTGTTCTCTTCTTTGTTGTCTAGCCATGGCATCAATGCTAGTGCTGCTGTTCCTGGCTGCTGTACTGCCCCCATCCCTTCTTCAAAATGACTATGAGGTATGAGTAAGATTTAGTATATTCTCAGAACAGTTTAGGCAGCTATGAAGGCTAGGCTAGCAAGCAACTAGATCACTCTTCAAAGTTTTAAAAGACCAGGATGTGTTATAAGTCACAAAGTATTCATTGATAGTTCAAAGCAAACGGCATTATTTCAAAGTTGTGACTAATGAACTTGTAGCCCTAATTATAAGTGAATATTAAACATGGTCAGTTAGGCTGATTTAAATTAAAATGGTTAGGTTCGTGCAATATCTAAATGAACAGGCATATATTCATTACACAATGTAGATATCAAAGAAAAGGCTGGAGACAAATATCTCAGAATAAGTTTTTTATCGAGAGTAATTAAATTGTATTTTTGCTATATAACTTAAATATAAACATTGATATTAATTTACAATACCCTTTTCTTTTTAATGTGGTCAAGAAATTAAACTTACACATGATATTTGCATTATATTTGTATTGGATTTTTCATGTCTCTCAATTTATTTCTGAAAGTTTCTCTTCTAAGAATTGTTATTATTTTATTTAATCCATTTCAGTGTAGTCCTCACAGAAACTTCATATTATATTCCAGATAACACAACTTCATCATATATATATGTATATATACATATATATATATATACATATATATGCATATATGTATATGTATATATATGTATCTCATCTTTATAGATATTGTGTATCTATTTTCAATTTTAAAAGTTTTCAGGAATATAGTGAAGTATAATACTAAATTACACTTGCCTAGAATACATAAGCATTTGAGTTGATTTTCAGCAACACACACACACACACACGCACACACACACACACACAACAAGATGTTACACACACACACAGTCCAAGTTGTTACATACATCTACTATGCAAACAATAAGTATGTACATGAGCCAAATATTATTTGTAATATGTTTCTATGTTTAGATAATCCCAGTGAGGCTTAGTCATCTTTTAAAATGACAGAATATATGGGACTAGCAAAGATATTCCTCATCTGCTCAGAAAGATATTAAAGTTAAAAGCATTGCACATTGCTGTAACCCTCATGTTCTTCTCTGGCCTGGGCATTGGTTACAACTGGAATTCGTCAAGAGTATGGAGTGCCAATAACTGGATAGACCTGTTTTAGAATATAAGTTGTATGGGGTTTTTTGTTTGTTTGCTTGTTTCCATAACCAAATTAGCAATCTAGACACTATTTATCTTATCATCTAAGTGTTCACTCAAGTTGTTTGTATTCCCAGTTTCTTTCCTAAAATGACTGTGTTTTATAGCACCTTTGAAGCATCTATTCTCCCTCCCTTCTTCCCTGACACCTCTCTTCTCTCTTTGGTCTACTGGTATCACTTTAGAGAATTTCAAGATACAAATAGCAGAATAATTCTGAGTCACCTTTGATGAATGAAGGTTTCTTTAAAGTTACCATGAAGAACTGATTTCTCTGTCACTTATTTCTGTTCCCCTGCCTTAACTTTGTTTTGTTGTAATTATTAGATCATATTACCTATCCAATATAAACCCTTTAACAAGTTTTTATTCTTATATTTCCATGTTTCTAGTATCTCTTTAAAAAATATTACTATTTCCTGTTAAGAATATAGAAGCACATTTATTATCTCTTGGAGTTCTTAGGTACCAAGGAAGGTAGAATAACAAGCAGAAAATAATAATAATGATATTCTCATTAATAATGAGAATAATTAATATTTTCTCAGAAAGCATTATTATATTATGTCTTTAGAAAGTTAATAATCTTAAGTAAGGTTTTCAGGTTAATATCTAAGGAGATATGCCTTAGTGGATAAGCACAGTTACTGCTCTTGCAGAATATACTTTGGTTTCTATTACCTACCTCAAGTGGCTTACATCAATAATTCCAACTCCAAGGGTTCTGCTACCCTTTTCTGGCCTCAGCAGGCATTTTGCTCATCTACACAAACATATACACTTAATTAAAGCAATTTTTTTTTTTAGAAAATGATGCCTTTTCCTTAATAAGTAAATTCTGAAGAATATTGTTACTATACCTTATAATAAAATATGAGGATTTTCAAGCAATGACTTTAAAATGTACACTCTATCTGTCTTAGAAATCACTAGTCATGTGAAATCCCTTGGCTCAAGGGATTCATTCGTGCATTCAGAACATAAAGCAAGAGTTAGATGTAGACATGTAGCAAATACTAGCAATGCAGTGTGACTAGATCTATATGTGTAATGTCTGCAGTAACTTGAGAGAAGTAAGCACTGCAAGAATGAGAAACAACTTATTCCAGCAGTAGGATAAAATGTATGTGAGGATCTGTCCAATGATAATCAACCTATAACAACTTGCTTTACACTGTAAAAGAAGAGAGGATTTGGAGTATGCTTCTACCATCAAGAGTTTTTTATATTTTTGCCAATTCACATAATATCACTCTATCTACCTGTCCGAGATAAACACAAAAATGTAAAATTAAATATTAGCATCTGAGTTAACATGTTTATTTATGTTTAATGATTTGTAAAGCCAACAATACTCAAGCATTTTCAAGAACCCATTGCCTATAAATTGACTTTAATATTATATTAGATAAAACTCTTAGGAGTGGACACAAAATCCTATTACATATAAAAATTTCTTACTATAAGAGATAATTGAATGCACACATACAGTGCATCTAGAATTCCATAATCTCAAACGCTTCCAAATTCCTTGTCGGAGTTTGGCTATCTCTTTCAAAGGTCTATAATAGATTATGTAACTCATCCTTAGTGCTTCCTTGCTACAGCCTAATTGTGTGCAAATGACTTAAGTTTCTCTACCATGTTTTACTATCATTATAGGTTTCTCCTAAATAATAATTGATATTTGTAAAGTCAGAAGAGTTTTTACTATGTTTTTTTTTTCCACTTTTACCTTGACATGCCATGGATTCATTCATTCCTTTTCAAAATTTCTGTTTAAAATGTTTCTGAAGAAAACTAACAGATGTTCTTACCATTAAGTTTTAAGGTCAATGACTAATATTGTCTGAGCACTTTGATAATGACCGTCATCCACCTTAGTCATCATTTTCACCATTTCATATAACCTTATCATACAGTAATGTAACTTTCATTTTATTTCCGTTTAGAATAATGATCTTGAGGATTTGTCAACCACAAGAGCATCAGTCCAAGAAGAGATTGTAGAAAAGCACAACCAATTGAGACGAAAGGTTTCTCCATCTGCTAGTGACTTACTAAAAATGGTGAGGGCTCATGTCAGGACAGTGCTTTTGGAAAGCTGTGTTTGGAGCCTGCTGATACAACCTGGCTTCTCCTGTGTGGTTTAAAAGGGTTTGGCTCCATTTTAGCCTCTATTTTAAAAAAAATATACTTACTGTTTTGTTTATGTGCATGAGTATCTGTGTATGTGTGTGTGTCCATATATTATGACATGCATGTAAGGTCAGAGTTCTTTCTCTGCTTTTATGTCTTCAGCCATGATGTGATTAGAGTAGAATTTATTAAATTCCCTTAATAACAGTGACTCATTGGTGTATTGGTGTTCTGGAGTTACATCAATTACAGTCACAGGACTAAAAATAATTCTTTTGACTTTTCTCTTTAGTGACCAGGCACTGTGTTATTGCCTCTCTCTCTCTCTCTCTCTCTCTCTCTCTCTCTCTCTCTCTCTCTCTCTCTCTCTCTCTCTCTCTTTTCTCTCTTTCTAGGTCAAGACATCTCTTCTTCATGACCTTTCATCTAAACAGTCTTCTGTCTTAGACCCAGATCTAAAATCTTTTTTTTCTTTTAAATTCATTCAATGTGTAAAATGAAACTAGCATTTGTGAGGCAACTTTTTTACAGGTGTAAAAATAGTCTTGGTGCATCCCCATAGTTAGTGCTTCTTGTAGTACAGCAATTGCATAATGGCTTTATGGTTCCTGTTGTGATTTCTATAAGTCATTAGCCTGTTAAATGTTTTATTATTTTTGGTGATCTTGGGAAGAAAGACAGGCTACTTGTATTTCTTTGAAATAAAAAAAGGCGTAAATAAGTGGGAGGAACTTTGAGTATAGATTAGGAAGCTACGGAGCAGACAGTGACAGAGGTAAAAGTGCCATGGAAAGTGTGGAAAGAGGATGGAGATAGAACATGCATGACATCAATGGGAGGCTATGGGTGAGAGGGCATGGGAGGATGGGCACAATCAGGAAGATGGGGAAGAAAACCATGCAAAAATAAGCTTATTGTAAATGTTACAATTTAAGTTGATAGTATATATGCTATCATAAAAATTAAGATACATACTATTTTACATATTGATTATGATGAAAGTTATGTGGTGCCTCCAGAAATCTTGCACTGATATAAGCCAGTCCTGCCAGCCTGCTTTCAAAGATATTGTGCCTTTGAGGTTTTTGTTATTATATAGCTATCTTCTTTCTTTTTCCCCTTTAGGAATGGAACCATGATGTTCAAGTGAATGCTCAAGAGTGGGCAGACAAGTGCATGTACAGTCACAGTCCTATAGAACTCAGGACAACCAGTATGTAAATTAAAAATCACTTATGTGTGGTTGGAGAGTAACACAGGAGGGCCCAGTTTCTGGTATTGTGCTAACAAACCTTTGCAAAGTAAACACCTATTATGATACTGTCTTTACAAAAAAAAGTTCAATATCTATGGACCAGGATGGCTCAGAGAGGCTCCATATTATGCTTATTGGGTATTCTATATTTTACACAAACCATCTTCCTCAATGCCAGCTTTGTGTCTTGTAACTAGATCACAAGTGAAACAAGTTAGGGATCATCTCTTTCTCTCCTTCAAAGAATAAAACAGTTGTCTGGATGAAACTACTGATTAAAGTAATATGAAGGGGACTTGAAATTAGAATCTCTATCTCTATCCTATTATTTTTATTAATGTGTATATTTGTCTTGTGTATGTATGCACACGTAAATGTAAGTGCATGTACAGAAGAATGCCTGTAGAGATCAGAAAAAGGCATTGAATTTTTGGGAGCTAAAGTTACAGTGGTTGTAACCCATCCCATATGGATGCTACCAGTTGAATTCAAGTCTGCTAAAGTAGCAGGATATGTTTTTATCTGTCGAGTGACTTTTTCAGCCCTCTGTAATTAGAATTTCCAAATTTCTATAATTTAAGCCACTATCTTATCTATCTTGTTTTGTGTGGGTTTTTTCTATATATAGTTTGTTTGTTTGTTTGTTTGTTTGTTTTGAGTCAAGGTTTCTCTCTGTATTCCTGGCTGTCCTGGAACACAGTTTGTAGAGCAGGCTAGCCTGGAACTCATAGAAAGCTGCCTGCCTCTGCTTCTAGAATGCTGGGATTAAAGGAATGTACCACCATGCCTGGCTCGAGTATCTTATCTTTTGATGTGGCTTGTTTATATCTACAAGTTATATTTTTAATCATAAAAATGTATTTAATCCGAACAACTAATTCTTCAATTTTCTCAAGAAATATAAAATATTTGCATTACCCTCATTACTTCCTTTATTGTTTTGTTTTGCTGTTGTTATTTTTGTGCAGGATGACTTCAAATACATAATATTTCACTTTAAGCTTCCTAAATTCTGGAATTGTGTGTCTGTGTGTTTAAGCCAACAATGTGTATGTGCCAAACTCTGTCTTCATTGTTGGTGACAGAAACTTATGGTCACTCCGGGTGGGTGAACATTATATTAAGTTAAAAATAAATTATGAGACATAATCTTTACATCAGGAAGTATAGAAATTATGAGAAAATAAATAAATGGACTATGAGATATAATATTTCTTGGAACATTAGAAATTGTAATTGCTGGATGAATTTGAAGATAATTTAATTATTTCTTTTTAATGTTCTACTTCGTAGCTATCACTATTTAATAATATAATGATTTAAAAGTTTATTTAAAATACTTTAAAATTTAGCTAAAGTATAAAATAATGTTGAATTTCCAGGGATTGAGAAAAATACTAAACTATTTATTGGATGTTGAAGCTTTGTTTTTCTCCATTCTTGGAAGAATATTTAGCTCATGACACTTTATTTTTCTAATTAAAGCATGACCTATAAACTTTAAAAGTATTGTTATTTCTGTTTTGGTTTGCTTTGCCCTTGTGTTTTTTTAAGTAATGACAATAAAGAAGGCTTATACAAAACAATAATGCTAAAAATGTAACATTTCACATAAAAATCATTAGTAAGAACAGGAAAGAAATTAAGAGTTAGTATTTGTCTTTTATAAAAATACAAATCAACATTTGTTATATATGAGGCACAAACACACACAAACACATCCCCTCACACATATTCACATAGCTATAAAGAATTTAATATCCATCAATGCAAGGAGAGAAGCTACTGAGAAAAAGACTTCTGTATTTATTCAGTTCATATGGTATTCACCCCATACATTATATACCTGTGGCTACTGTTCAGATGAATGATCAAGTCTGAAGCATGCCTCTTACGAAATAATCAAAAGTAACAGATAGCATTGTCTTTAAAAAGCAGGAATTCGGCTTTGTATAGCCCCCCTCTGTATATCTGTGTGTTTGTGTGTGTGTGTGTGTGTGTGTATATGTGTGTGTGTATTCTTTTCTTTCCTGCTGCCCTAATTAGTGGTCTATTCTTCTTCCCCATAGACCTAAAATGTGGTGAGAATTTGTTCATGTCAAGTTACCTTGCACCATGGTCTTCTGTAATTCAAGACTGGTATGATGAAGTCAATGATTTTGACTATGGTATAGGCCCAAAGGAACGTGGTAGTATAGTTGGACACTATACTCAGGTAAGAAAAAGTATTCTCTGTAAATGAGAGGCAAGGAAATGTTTTGTATTACTTGACCAGGGCTGCACATCAGCTTTGTATAGCTCCTGAAGGAGAATGGGAACAGTCTTTCTGACATTCCCTCATAGCTGATTTCCAGACAAATAAGGTGCCTGCTTTAGCAAGAATTATACAATTATTCCTCAATTCAAGTCACTGTCAAATAGGGCCTACCAAAGCTGAGAAAGAAAGGAAGTGTTACAAGGATCCTGAATGGCTGATTGGAGAGAAGATCCAGATGTGATAAAACAGATATCTTAGTCAAGGTTTTTGCTCTGATAAAACACCAGGAAAAAAAGCAAACTAGGGAGGAAAGGGTTTATTTGGCTTACATTTTCATGTTGTTCATCACCAAAGAAAGTGAGGACGGGAACTCAAACAGAGAAGGAATCTGGAAGCAGGAGCTGATGCCCACTCCATGGAAGGTGCTGCTTACATGTGTGCTTCCTGTGCCTTGCTCAGCCTGCTTTCTTATAAAATCCAGGACCACCAACCCAGGGATAGCCCCATCTACCATGGGCTGAGTTATCCCTCATTAATCAGTAACTATGCCTTACATCTAGATCCCAGGAAGGCATTTTCTCATCTGAGGCTCCTCCTTCTCTGATGACTTTGTTAAGTTTCTATACAAAACCAACAAGTACAACTGTCCAATTGTCAAGTTGACACACAGACATACAAATCATTTTTAAGCCAAAAACTTTCTTGTCTTATTCATCCCTAAGATCTCACATTAAAACATAAGTAACTTAAGTCCTACAGTCTTTACAAATTCAAAAGCATTACAATTTCAATCTCTTTAAAATATCCAATCTGTCTAGAAATCCAAAATCTCTTATAAAAGTTTAAAATCTTTCAGTTTTGCATGACAATAAATATCAAAATTAAATGAAATACATTTTTCAAGAGGGAAAAAGGAGGGCATGGTCACAATCTGAACCATAAAACAACTAAACCCCCAAACTATAAAGAACTCAATGTCCAGTGTCTTAGATCCACAAATAATATTCTGGCCTCCTCCAAATGGCTAAGGTCACTTCTCCACCTCTGTCCTTTCTGACACACACAGCTTATCTTCTAGGCTCCCAGCTGGTTCCACTTCATGGATGCTGCTGTTATTGGTGTTGGTGGCATGGTACTTTCATTTAAAAAATGCTGAGGACTGCTGCAAGTGAGCTGGACTTTCAGGAATAACCTCTCATAGGATGTTTTCCTGGTATGAAGCCTCAAATTTATTGCATGACTCCTTTAGTCCTGAGCCTTCAACTGCCACTGAGGCTGTACCTCTCCGGGTATCTTATAATGCCAACCTTCAGCTACTCTCCATGACCCTTTAATGCCATCAACACTTGTACCATTTGTGAGACTCTTTTACATTGCCAAGTCCAGTTGCCAGCAGAAGGTACAACTTTGGCCACACCTGGAACACAGCTTCTCTCTGCTCTCAGGAAAATACTTCCCAGTCGATTTCACCTCAGTGATGCTAGTCTCTTCTTAATCACCACTAATCTTATATCCAGCTAACCAACATCAGTTATCCCCGAAACAGAAAGGTTTACTTCAGTGGTTATGGTATCTTGTTAATAACAGCTGAATTTTCAGTTCTAGCTAACAAGAACCATGGAATCTTAAAGCAAAATAGAAAATGGACCTAATAGAGTCTTTACTCTTCCCTTTGAAATTTCACATGCAAGGCCTCTCTCTTCTGTACTGTTCAACATTCATATCTTCCAAGATCCCAGATCTTCCCACAGAGCTCTTAATATACAATGGCCTTTCTAGCTCAAAGTTCCAAAGTCCTTCCAAAGTCCTCCCAAAAATATGGTTAGGGATGTCACAGTAATAACCCACTGTAGTGGTACCAAAATCTGCAATAGTCAGGGTTCTCTAGAGTCACATAACTTATGAAACAAATCTCTCTCTCCCTCCCTCCCTCCCTCCCTCCCTCCCTCCCTCCCTCCCTCCCTCCCCCCCTCACTTTTTCTCTCTCTCATATTTATATTTGAGATTCTAAAAGGATGTGCCTCAAGAGACACCGCTACCTGTTCTAAATTTACAATGCATTTATGGTTATATGAGGGATAACTATATCATATTAGACATTATTATGACCTGATTATAGTTTATGCATTTGTGGTTATACAAGGGATAGCCATATATTATTAGGCATTATTATCACCTAGTTATTGTTTTCATTTGGACACAAAATATGATTTGTGTCAAAATGACAAAGGGTGGATTATGATGGATACTCTCAGTTACCAACATGACAATATCTGGAATGAACTACAACCAAAAATGGACTCATACCTATTGTCTGGATCTTGAGGCAAGATGGCAATATGTCTTTTATCAGGATCTTGAGGCTGAAAGACACACGCTTTTGAAACAGATCTTGAGGTAGGATGGCAACATATACCTTTAATCCAGATCTTGAAGCACACTTGGGCTATATCTTCTGCTGGAGGCCTATATAAGGACAATGAAGGAAGGAAGGGTTCATTCACTCTTTACCTGCTTACGCTTTCCTGTCCAGCACGTCCACTGGAGTCTACTATTTTAGGATACTGGGTTATACAATCCAGCTGAAATCTGCAGCAGTGTGGGACTGGGCAACTACTAGAGTTTTGGGCTTTCCATTCACAGCTGGTTACTGCTTGATTAGATGAATTGCAGCCTGCAAGTCATCCCAATACACATATACCTTCATTTCATAAGTTCTGTGACTCTAGAGAACCCTGACTAATACAGCAGGAAGCAATTCCAACTCCTTGATCTGATCAGATCTTACAGGCTGAGAAACTTGAGCTGAAACCCAGTTTCAGGAAGGAACCAGAAAATTCAAGGTCAAACTTCTACACCGAAGCTCTCACTACATCCAACTTCCAGGAAATATAAATGATGACTGAGTGGTAGCCTTCTTCCAGGTTTGCCGAGAAGGTTTACAGGCCAGTCATGATCCCTGCCCACCTGGGAAGGAGGATGCTCATGGCCATGTGTTAGCATCCAACTGAACACTTCTTCTGTGATTCTGGGAGAAATTCATGGTCACATTGATGGCTGACTAGGATGTGACATGATATCCATGTTACTCTCTTATAGTTTTTTGTCACATGCCTAGAAGGTAGGAAGCTCAGAAATTCTATATCTCACTAGGGTCCTCCTGGTATCCATGGATTCTTTGATGTCTTTCATTTTGACATGAAGATCATTGGTCTCAGCCCAGCCTTCTGCATCCTCATTATCTTGGAACCTGTCGAAAATGCACTAGAAGAACGTCAGAGTCTCTGAGATGGGAGTGAAGCAGTTGTCAGCCTCCCTAATCTCCCCTAGATGCCTCCTTTAAGCTTTGTTGGACTAACTGACCAAAATCAGGCCCTGTGGGCTCTTTTAACATTTCTTCTCTGATTCAATAATTTATGTATGTCCAGAAGGCATATAGAAACAAAAGTCTACCAAAGGTGTTTTAAGTTTACATTTTCCATTTGTTTATCTGCATTATTTTTGTCTCTGACACATGTTCCATATTCATTCCTGGGTATGCAGGTTGTTTGGAATTCAACTTTCCAAGTTGCATGTGGAGTTGCTGAATGCCCTGAAAATCCATTGAAATTCTACTATGTTTGTCAGTATTGTCCTGCGTAAGTATGCAACTTAGAGTTCACTTTCAACAACATCAAATGCAATTTAACATGTTTAACTATCATAGTGTAAAAACGATTAAAGATATACATTATACAAGGGAAGGGAAATACAAACTTTTAAATACTTCCCATAGTTAAAACTTATTATACAAAATTCTTGAAATGGCCAGCTCATCAATTTTATAAATGACACTCAGAAACTTACACCCTATGCTTAATGATTATTTCTCTTCTCCCTTCAGTTGGAGTTTTCTAAACTCATTGTGACCTCAAAGCATAGGTATTGTTAGAGTCAATTTTTCAGTTATTGTTATGTTTATAGCTTACAAAGGAATCTACTGATATTAGAGCAGAGGTGAGTGTTAGTGAATAACAGAGAATATTGATTGTAGAGTTTCTATAAAACTAACCCTACTTGTGATTTTATAGGCTGTTATCTCTTCTTATAATTATTTATCTTTTGAGAATATCATATAGGAGTACTGAATTTGCATAATTTTCACTCTTGCCTGTCTTCCTCCCAACCTTCCAAGCTCATATTCCCTCTGAAATTTATTATTCCATCTTTCAATGTTATTGTCTCTCTCTCTCTCTCTCTCTCTCTCTCTCTCTCTCTCTCTCTCTCT